TACTTGGATCTGATTGTTATAGTGATCGTGCAAACGTTTAACCGTGCACGAAGTAGATTAGGCTATGAAGTTGTAAGACTATCTAGAGGCACCAGCAAATAAAAGCACACAGTACAAACACAAGCTGATGTGACTGTTATCTAGAAGCCTTTAAGAGGTAGCGCAGGAAGTGCGAGCAAGGTTGGCATGAGAGCGTCACAGTGCTCCATCAGATTGTAAGCCTCTAGAAGGCAGAGATTAAGTATGAAAGGCAAGGTCCATAACAGAGACAGTGTGAAGTCAGAAACCCAGAGTAAGCCAAAGGATGGGCTGGGAGCATAATTACTTCGCGAATCAAAATAAAGCGAGAGAGAGCATAAGAGAGAGAGCGATGCAATTTCTGCAAAGGAAGGAAGAAAAGGATGATCAGAAAATCAAGGGAGATCAGCCAGACACAGTGGTGTGCTTAGCTTGTGTGAGGCCTGTAGTGTCAACTCAGAGGTGCCATGTGCCCCTCTAAGGGTCAACATCACAGGCCCTGTGTTTACAGAGGAGACCCGCAAAGCTCAGAGTAAAACTCCTCCCTGGAACAGAGCGCAGCCAGTGAGTATTTTAGTGCGAGCTCAAGGACTAGAAAAGAAAAACCAAGAACAGCAAAAAGAAACAAAACCAGAACTAAGACAGGCCCAGTGCTATATGCCTATAATCTCAGTTCTACAGGAGGCTGAGGGTCATGAGTTCAAAGCCTGCCAGGGCTACAGACTGCATTAAAGGCCAGCAAGACCTCATTTCAAGTCAAGAGTGACAAATGTGCCTGGGGATGACGCTTGGTGATAGAGTGCTGGCCTAGAAGATGCAGGGTCCTAAGTCCAGTATCCGGTCACCCTCCTCCTGAAATTCTACCCCCCCCCCACACACACACAAAGGGTTTTTTACACAACGATTAAAGTGTTTTATGGGTTTTTCTGTCTTGTCAATACTTTTTATATGTGAAGAAATATATAAAATATACCATTTAATACTTTATATATATATATGAACTTGGAAGCTAGACATCCAAGTTCAGATCTCCAAAAAAGAAAGAAAAAAAAAGTGTAGCCAAAATACACCTCTAAGGTAGAAGCTCTAAACCGTGATAACAAAGGCCGCATTAGGTATTATATAGGTACTGTGGTGGGAAGACGTCTTAAACTTTCCTCACCCGAAGACAGTTTGGAAGACTGCAGGCTCTTCACAGCCAGCCTTCCCATAGCTGCTTAGCAAACTGCCATCACTACCATCTGGCTGTTGACTTCGAGGGGCAGCTAAAGGAGCTGCCCATTCACTCCCAAATAAGAGTTTTGCATAAAGTGTGTGTCCAGCCCCGGGCTGATGGGCATGGTGTTTTTGGTAGACCTTTATAGCAGGCATTCTAATTGGTGGCTTTGAGATGCCCGACCCATGGTTTCTACGGAAGGAACCGGGGTAGGGGGGGAGAGAGAGGAAGGAGTGACCTGAGGACTGCTTTCCTCAGTGGAGCACATTTTGTCAAAAGCAGGCTTTGTCTTGAGACTGCTTCCTTGGTTCCTGTTGTCAGCACACCTTCTCTTTCTGGAGACAGTGGTGAGATCTGAGTGTCAGGATTTTAAAAATCGTCCTTGACAACATTCAGATTTGTCGTTGGCCTTTGTAGTTTGGGGAGGGCATTTTACTAGCTTGTGAAAAACACCGCTGTATACACATTTCTTTGTCTTTGCTGGAGAGGGATCCGACCTTTAGGGTTGACACTTTAAGTCCACAGGCATAGTCAGCTCTGCCTGGAACCAATTACCAGCTTGGTGAATTCTCCGGATTCCCTGGCAGGCTCTCTCTTTGGCAGTGCACTGTTCAACTTCAGGGTAAAAAGGAAAAGGGGGAGCCGGGCCTGGGCGTGGGAGCCACACCAAAATCACTAGCAAACTGACTTTAGTTGTGATTTGGGTGTTAGAATCTTGAAGTAGCAGGGGAACAGGAAAGTGGACATTTCTGACAATTGTAGGGTGTTTGAGTTATCTTTGAGTTTTAAATGAAGATGCTTCCACCATCCCACATCTTCATGGGCACTGCTAGCAGTTATGCACGAGTAACAGATTTTAATTCCTTTAAGCACTGTGAGCAAGGGAACTGGCAGAGACAGCACTGGAAATGAGGGCCCTGGACATCCAGCTTCCTAGCTCAGTCATTTATCTACATCAGGAAGCTGACGAATGGTTGGCTATTATGTGTTGGGTAGTGGGATACAAAAATGGAAAAGATCCTCTCCCTGCCCTTAAGAGTTAACTTAGAAGAGGGAAGGATGAAAACAGACCAATGTCCTGAAAACTGTCGTAGGAGAGGTGATAGCGCGCTCTATAGGGTCTAGTATTGGAAAAGCTAGATTGTGACCTAGCAGATGTTGGGAGAGGTAGCAGAGAGACCAGGAGGAAACCATGAGGTTGTTTGGGGGAAAAGATAAGCAGTTGATCTAGCAGGATTGTAGGGTGGGCTAAGATGGAGAGAGAGACAGAGAGAGACAGAGAGAGGGCATAGGGTTGGATGGGTGGGGAGGAGATGAGGCAGGGGAACCAGGATCAGAATGTACTATTGGAAAATTTATTTTTAATACATTTTTTTAACCTCATGTGATATTAAACATGGCAACTATTTGACAGCTAACTTTTTCTGAACCACACATACCACATACTAGGAGTTGTTAGAGGTACTTTGAGCTAAGTGGTTTATTCAATGGTTATTTTAGAGCTGAGGAGACAAAAATAAGTGACTTGTCCAAGGTCATCCAAGTAGTTGCAGGTGCTGCCAGGAAGTCAGGCACCACAGCTTACGCACATTCACAGCGATGGCCATCTTTCTCGAAACCCGTCACCGACTTCACCGCTGTTGTCAGCACTTTTTGTTTGTTTTATTGCAAGTGTGAAAATACACACACTCTCTCTTCCCCCCAAACTCCAGCACACACACACACAAATGTTGCTGTGCTCCGGAGAAGACTTGTTCCTGACTATATGCACTGGAGGTGTATATTTCCCAGGGTTCTTTTGTTTGCTGGAGCTAGGCAGGGTATCCAGCCCCAGGCAGCATTCTTTAGAAAGAATGAAGCACCCTTCAGTCTACGGCTCAGATACATAGTCTCAGGGTACTGAACACCTCGCAAGCATTCCGTCAACCTGCCTGCATTTTCTAACTTTTTTGTGAGCAGTAACGTAATTAGGGTCACCTCGGTTCCCAGCCTATGAAACGCGTCCTTTGTGAGATTTGTAAGTGGGTCACAGCATGACAAGTTGTACTCCTTTATTCTTCAGCATGAAAAGACAAGGTGGCTCTGACAGGAATTCTGCCAGGTGCTTCGCTGTGTTGGTGTTACTGAGCACTTCCAGGGTCAGCTTAAAAAAGCCAAACCCAAACAGAACAGTTGAAAGCCCCAAACCGGGCAAAACCAACTTGCCACTAGATGGAGCTCTGGCTATTTGAGTAGGAAAAAGGCAGCGAAGGGGGCACTCACTGTTAAATCACAGTCACGTTGAGCCCCTGGTATTTGCAGTCCTTGGCTTTTAATTGTAGAAGGCATCTTTGTTCTTTGCCTGACCTGCAGAGTGACGTCACCGCTTTTCTTCCTGTGTGCTGGCTCTGACACAAGCCAGATGGCCACAGTGATCCGTAGGCGCCCAGGCCGCCTGGTACAGCGGTCGATGAAACAGAATAGGAGGACGTTTTATGGTCAGCTGCGGGAGCACAGAGAGGCCGCAGCTTTGCTAAGTAATTACATTTACCGCACATACTTTTTTCCCCCCGGGGAAGGGTCTCATGGAAAAAAAAAAAAAAAACCCTCCATTTTTATTTATGGCGTTGTGAGGTATAGACCTTTGATCTTTTATTAGCCAGTAGTCTGCTACAAAGGCATGCACTCTTTCCCTGCTCTGCAGTCACTCGTGAAAATGACATGTTTATTTATGTCTAACGGTTCTCTCAGGCTCGCATTGTGACTCTTAACTTCCCTCTTCCTCCCCTTTGCCTCCAGTCAGTAACACAGACATGTTTTAGTTTTGTAGTGGGTTTAGTTTGGGGAAGTCAGAGTTCAGGCATGTTGAACAAGCAGATTTTGGTCAGATACACTCCAGAGCGATCTGGCCAAATATATTACTGTTTCTTATGTGTTTGCTCTTTGAGGGGATCAGGGAAGCCCAGGAGAAGACTTTCATTTTGGGGTGGGGAACGGAGGTGGTGGTGGTGAGGGAATGAGTGAGACATTAATCTCATCCCATTTTTGGACATTTGGCAGTTAAAGTTTCTTGACATGGTAGTTTTAAATAAGACACAAGAAACTGGTAATCGCTACGTATTCACTTTCTTTTGAAGTCAGTCTGCACCTATTGCAACGGGGCCCAAGATGTTTATGAGAACCCTACGAGCCAAACTTGTGCCTCAAGTTCAACATCATGAGATTTTCCACATAGTTCATTTCCAAAGACTCTAGTAAAATATTTTTTACCTTTTTTTTCTATGCTAGGTCATGGGTACTCCTCACAGAATTTTATTTAGAAAGTATAAGTCATCCATTTGAATGAAAGCTCGTGCTCCCTAGGCTTTACTCAAATTTAACAGTTTATGAAGTCTCAGGTTTTTTTGTTTTGTTTTGTTTTGTTTTTTGTTTTTTTTTTTTTTTGTCTCAAAGCGTGAGTCTGTACATATTTGGGCTCCTCTGCCAAATGAGCATTTCCTCACTCTTTTCCACACTGTATTTGCTTTGTGTCCTTGGATCATTGAGCTTCGGTTTTCTCCCACATACTTACTGGGGATTAAACCCGCCTTCTTGATGCACTGCAAGAATTAATGATAACAATGGGAGTCAGCTTGCCATCTGAAAACGAGGCTCCGGTGGTTTGTTAATACTGTGCATACGTTCAGTCGTTCGATGAATGTGCCTAACGTTTGTGATGTTTTAATTGGTTGTTTTTTTTTTTTTTCTCCTACTCAGCTTTTGCCCCTATCTTTGCCTCTAGGTTTGTTGCTGAAGATTATCACAGTGATGTCTGCATTCAACCTGCTGCACTTGGTGACAAAGAGCCAGCCCGTGGCCCTGCGAGCCTGTGGGCTGCCCTCAGGTTGCTGCTTGTTATCCTGTCCGTAGCTGGGCACTGGGCTGAGTGGGTGCTTCTGCTGTAGGAAGTGGTACAACACCGTGTTTTGCCAAACTTCATCTCTCTTATTTGAACCCTAACTGGAAGATGGAAGTTGGTTACAGATCATCACGCATACACTGTCCAGTCCCCTTGCCCCGCGTATACGTGTCCCTGGCACTTGATGGTATCTTGTTGTTCTCCACGGCACGCTATACTCACCGGCAAGTCACAGTGCATGCGAGAGCCTGCCAGTCTCACGAGGTAGAACAGCCATCCTGTTAAAGGGAATGCCATGCTTCTTACTCCACACGTGGCTGCTCCTTTAGGAAAAAAGTTAGAACGAGCAGCTTTAAGGTAGTTGTGTTACTTATATTGTAGTTAAGAAGAAAAGATTTTCTACCTAACAAGAACCAAATAAAGAGAACTAATGTAGCATACTTCAAACTGGTTCATAAATTAGAACCATTATATTTGTTAAAAATGTGATTTTTGACTATTTAAACCAATGAATCATGTAAGTTCAAAATTTCACTGTGTCTGTACCATTAAAGTTAATATTTTAATTTTATTATAAAGTTCACAATGGTCAAATGTTTTATTTCAGTGAATATGATTGTTAATATTATTTATATTCCCATTATTATATATATCCTTATTCATATATTGGGTAGAGAGGTTAACTATGCTATTAAACATTTACTAAGAATTAAATGCATGTCTTAAGCGGCAAGGGTGTGGTGATAGACAAGACTAAGCTGATGGGTTCTTAACTAGCAGGAGATAGAGATAAAGCTGTCTGAGGCCCTCTAACCATATGATGATATAAGGCTAGACTGGACATGCCTGTGCATTGGCTAGGGTAGGAAACCAGAGCACAACTATTCCAGCTGTTTTCTGTAGGGGAATGAGTTTTGGAAGGGAGGAAGGTCTCTGCAGTTTAAGAGGACTCCACGAAGGAGATGGTACTTGAACTGGATCACACTGGATCCATGACCAGGAGTGGGGTTATTTCTAGCATACAAGCAAAATGTACGGCCAGGAACTAGAGACTGTTTATGTGGGTAGCTAGGGAGGGCAAGGGCAAGTGGAAGAGGTGAGGAGGGTAAATCAAGGCACACCACGAAGCGCTATGAATGATGTATTCTAGGGTGCTTAAACAAAAATGCCTCTGGCATTCTATACGTTCAGCTGCTGGAGTATGGAGGCGGGCCAGTGCTGTTTCTTCCTACATTGCTATGATGGGGGTTGAGATGGCAGCCTGGATTTCAAATGGCCAGGTAAGGTCTTTGCGAAAAGTAGGTTTTTGTGTTATTTAAATAGGACAATTAATGAGTAAATGCAGCTTAGTGCACAGAGGGAGAGGGCCCCCATCACTTTTGGCACTCCCTGCCCCTGCCTAGCCTGCACTGACCTCGTGTTCTGTAGCTGATGGATTTGAGGCTGTGTGATGTCATCAAAGAGCTGAGAGTCTTGAGGATGGCAGTAGAATAGTTGTGAAAAGATGGGGTAGACTACAGGGAGATGCAGCCTGTAGAACCGATAAGGTTCCCCGGCCATCTTGTATCTGAACACGAGGGGAACCGCACACTGCAGTCTCCCTGCCATGAGGTAGCTTTTCATCTCTGTAGATATGTGCAACAACAGGTTACAAATGTAGAGCTAAGGCCCGTGCCTGTTTTCCCACTGTAAATAACCACGATGGGGCAAAGCATTGCACACAGTTCTGTAAGGCGGGTTCTCTAGTCACAGTGGAGGCTAACTGTTTACAGAAGCAACTTACAAATAGCAGGATACTCCTTAAAACACAACAGGCTGGTCAAGTGGTCCATTATCAGGTTGTTTAACTGAAAATCAAACAGCTTTAACTTTTGATAACAAAACAATTCAGAGATAAGGAACAAACCATGCCAGTATACTGCACAGCAAACAATTCTAGATCCAGACAGGTCAGGATGGAGTCTGGCTCTAATTCCCATTATGTGACTCTTTTAGCCAGCTCCCTTACTTCCAAATTAAAAAGACAATAATTAGTTCCGCCCAAAATGGTTGCTGTGACAATTGAAGAGATTAACATATAAAAAAGATGAGGATGCTGCCTGACACAGTAAGCACCATGAATGTTTTCACTAGGTGCAGTATAAAAATCCATATATTTATATCCATTTGGATTTATATTTTTTCCATGAAACTAGGCTTTTAAAAACATTTAAATATATATGTATAAAATTTTTAATTTAACTATTTTTACTTTAATAGGAGCCACAAATACATGTTGTTTGAGAAACAACCATCTCAATCTATTTTTTTAAAAGATAGATTTATTTATGTGTATGTGTGTGTGTGTGTGTGTGTGTGTGTGTGTGTGTGTGTGTGTGTGCCTCTGTGCATCTCTGTGTATCCTTCTACCATATGGCTCCTGGGGACTGAACTCAGGTTGTCAGTCTTGGCTGCTAGTGCTCTTACCTACTGAGCCATCTTGCCAGCCCCTCAACCTATTGTTTGGTTTGTTTAGTTTATGTATATATTGTTCAACAGCAGACTTCAAGTTCTGTAAATCCACCTTTCTTTTATCCTCACCATCCTATATTGACAAAAACCCAGAGAAGCTCTTTATCTTTCTTTCCTAGGACCTATAGATGCATTTTACCTGCAAATGAATTGGTTAGAATATTTCTCAATTCCCTAACTCTCAAGGGCCGTTAGTGTTTGAAGCATCATGAACTTGATATCCACTTCTCTAATGGGATTTTATTCTTAGAGGCACAGAAATGCAGAAGAAGTTGTTAGATTTAGCAACAATAATACAACCTATTTGAACTTTCAAATCTAAAAGTATAATTGAAATGGGAGCGCTACCCTTTATAATTCAGTACAAAGAGCAAAAGAGGGCAAAATGGGAGACATAGGAGGTTAAGATGAAATTTCATTTTCTTGCTTTAAATCTATGTTCCTTGGTCCAAACCTATTACAACAGAAATCTCTGTTAATCAAAAAGATTTTGATTTCTAAATCCCACTGATTTTTAATACTGAATAACAATTCAATACTGAATAACAAATTAATTTTGAATAGTAATTTAATATACAATTGTAAATTGATTTTGAGTAATAATTCAATCTGAAATAACTCTAGAACTAAAAAGAAAAATAATAATTGGAACAGTCCTCTATTGATTGTAACTGGCTGCATGAAAGCTGTATCTTAGAAGTGATTTATCATTTTTCAGCTCTTGCTTTCCTTCTTGTTTTTTTAATAAAGCATAATTTTAACTTAGAGCTTATTAGGTGCATCTGAGGTATGGTGCACTCATGTTTGTCATTAAAGGTAATTTTTCTCACTCAGAATTTCTTGGTAATTTCCTACAACAGTTTCCTGTAAGTATCACTCTGGGTCAGGAGCAGAAAATTTGTCCAGAGTTGTGTCATTAGTGTGTTCGACCTTGAACACATCTGTGAACCTCTCCAAATTTCATTCTCTTCTTCTTTAAAATGAAGAAGTAAAATAAGGTCACTTGCCCCTTTTTGAAATTCTGTTTTCTTTTTTTCTTTCTTTCTTTCTTTCTTTTCTTTCTTTCTCTTCTTCTTCTTCTTCTTCTTCTTCTTCTTCTTCTTCTTCTTCTTCGCTACAGTTTTAACTTTTGGCTTGAGGTGAATTAAATCTCAAACCTCAATAATTAATGCTCCAGATTTACAGGAAAGACTGCGAGGTGGTGCTTGAACACTAGGATCCCTGGTCACTACATCAAGACAAAAGAATTATCCAAGGAGGGATCAGACAGCAAAATTTGATACACAGTTTTAATACCAGAGAAAATTAGTTGTTGTGGTAGCTTAGATCAGACATCATGATAGGTTTGAGCCATGTACAGGTAGGTGGCTGTCTAGATAGGCCTAATTATAGTGATAAGTCCCACTTCAACACCATGTGCACAATACACAGTTGTGACATTTCTGTCACTTCACGGACATCTTTAACAAGCCTGTCCATGACTATTAGGTTGTTGATTCTAGTGAATAAATTAGAACTCTCAAGGACACTTTCTGCAAATGGGGTTGAAATACACAGACTGTACTGTGTGAGTAGAACTCTGTGAGCCAGGGGCTTGTGACATGACACTGTCTGGTTAGTAGGTATCTCTTAAGTGAAAATAAACATGCAGAAGTTTATATGTCTATGAGGTCATACCTGTAACAAAGAGTAGGGACTCCTTTGAGATTGCGCTGTATGGGAAGATTAAAAGTAAAGCTTATAGCTTATGTGCTTCAAAATTTATTTTCAAAAAGCAAATTTATTCTCGTTTTATTGCATTTTTAGAATATAGTGGATGGCTTAGCTATAGACTATAGCATTTTCAGTTAAATAACAAAAATTACAACTTATATATATTATCTACAATTGCTTTGCCTTTTTCTCCCAAATAATTTGAATTTGTTGGCATATTAACTGTTTGAAGTGAATAAGTAGATCTTATCCTCACTCTGAGAATTAAGATATCTACTCATTCAATCATTTCTGTGAAGCAAATTAGTATGTGTGTGCTTTCATTTATCCATTTCAAACAGTTTACTGCAGATTCGCACAACAACATCTCTACAAGTAAAAAGCACTATTTTCAATTAAAATGGACAATAGTTCCTTAGTAGGAACTGATGCTATATCTGCTTTAAAAACAACCGGCTTACCCACTGGGAAAAGTGCACTTTCTACGTTAATGTTGGAAACTCCTGTTAACATACGGACCACTTCCATGGGTCTTTGATAGACAGTATGACTTTCTAGAAAAAATAAAAAAACATAGGTTGTGGACAGAGTTTTTTTTAGTGGTTTCAAGTTTTCTATTGTTAGGTCTTCTAAACTCTTCAGAGACAACTCTGTGAGTGGAGTTCAGAACCTCTTCTCAGACAGACATGAAACCAATATGAAATGGCTCAGGATGCAGTAGCTGTTGCTTCTCTATTGGTGTCTCCAGTTCTGTCTTGTGT